GTGGGGAATTGGCCTCTCCTGGTTTGGTTTCAGGGAGATGGTGAAAGTCTTGGGTGGCAGAACCAGTCCGGAGTGCCTGGGAACGTGTTCACCATCTCCCATCCAGCCTGGGGCTGGGAAATTGGGACCTCTGCTCCTTAAAAATCCTTACTTCCCGTCCTAATTGCCCAGCTCTTCAGTGATGGCTCTGGCCAGGAGGTTGCAGGCTCTCCTGTCTTCTGTGGAGCAAACTCAAGGAGTGTGATGCTGAGCCCTCTCCCCTGTGTGCATGTGGGAGCACATGGAAGTATTGATCCTTCCTCGTGGCATTTACTGCTTCTTGCTAGGGAGGCTGTCGGAAATGTCAGTCCTTTTTTCTCGGAGCAGCTGCCTTGTTGTCCTGTGGGTTTGGATTTGCCAACTAAGGTACCCAGTGTCTTCCCTGACTGTGTTCCTGTGGTCCATAGAAATAACTGGCTTCGCTTATTTGAGCTGGAGTTTATCCAAGGAAGGGAAACTGTCTTCTAGAACAGATTTCTTTTTTCACATCTTGGTGTCAGCAACCTCAACCTCCTACTATAGCAAGAGGGAAGAGCAACAGGCAGCAGCATAGGGATCAGTGCCCCAGACCACACTTTCAGCTCCATCCTTGGACCTGCTGCTTGTGCTATCATTATTTCCCTGCATGTGTGGATTTGTTGGAAGCTCTTATTGGCTGCTTTCTTGCTGGAGAAATTCAGCCAGCAAACAGTCAGAGTTTGGTGCCACCTGTGCTGTTTGGGGAGGGGATCTTCTGGAGCCTTTTCCACGCCATATAATTGCCTTGAATACCTCCAGTGTGTCAGGATGTTGCTGCTGGGGGACATGACTGGGAGCTCTGCTTGCAAGGGGATTCAAGATGGAATCGTAGGCATGGTGGGCACCAGAGCCAGCAAAGGGATTTGTCTTCATGCTCTGCATACCCAGCTTTGGAGGTCAGGTTGGAAAAGACTTTTTGAAATCCCTGCCATGGTCAGCAGTGGGGAAGAGGCACTGTGAGTGCTATGGTTTGAAGTTTTTGAGATGCCCACCAAAGATTCTTGTCATCTGGATCTGTCTGCTCCCTGGTTATCTCTCTCTGTGGAGCTTGAAGCTCATGTTCCCAGCTCCTACTCTGAATAAGGATCCATGGGGGATGTGGTGACTGAGCAGGGCAGGAGTGACAACATCAAAGGTCTCAAAGGTTGGGCTGAGACATGCAGTGACATGGGACATGCTGGCTGCAGCCTCCAGCAGTGCACCTTGATGGAGCAGTTCTGGTCCATGTTTTGTCTCCTGGCACACACACAGCTGTGAGTTTGTGACCAGTAATAAGGCTCCCTCTTGGCTTTTGTTGTCTCTATGTCTGCAGGAGTGAAAGGACCTTCTAGATGAGAGAAACAGGCCATGCACGGCGTAGCTCCTTCACGTGGGGGTTCACTGGAGCCTAGAACCACCTCGGGTGCATTGATGATCTCACACTGAGCCCTGCAAGGTCCTGGCTGACTGACAGGGTGCAGCTTTGGGGGTGCCCTACACTTCACATCCTCTCTACCCTTGTAGATGCACCACAAACATCTCTGCTGGTTGCTCTTCTCTGGGGTTTTGGCATCACTCTTGGCTCTTATTGCTCCAAAATGCACCTTTCTTGCCAGACTTTGATTACTGGGGGCAAACCAAAATTCTTATAAATACGAATGAGTGGTCTAGGTGGTTCAGGGGACAGCATCAAAATTTGTGTGTTGTATTTATGTTTGATTTGCCCTCTTTCTCCCAATAGCTAATTGGTGCTGTGGTGCCCCTTTAATGACTGATGCTAACGAACCCTTGCTGGCACAGCTCTAAGATGGCTGGAGCTGCTTTGTGTGCATCTCCCTATGCCAGCACCCACACTGTGCTTCCCTTCATGTGGGACCCCATCCCACCTTCCAGCAGGGGCTATAACAAGGGGTAGGTTTTAATTACCCCCCCCAGAGCCCGGCATCACGTGGTGCCGGCGGTATTGCCTCGGACTCTCCCTGGATTTGCTTTTCCCCCATCGAGCAGCGCCTGTTCTGGCCGCCGCCGCCCAGGCTTGGCTCAGTTCCACTTCTGTCCTCGGCGGTGGTGAAAGCACGTTCCTCGTGATGGGAAAGCCTCCACCAGAAACACAAAGGGCTTTCATTAGGGGAGGCAGCGGCGGGTGGCCACGGACGGCCAGCGCCGGCACCGGGAGGCTTCACCCCACGTAACTCCTGCACAGGGGTGGCTGGAGACACACCAGCTCCCTCCAGCAGTGAGTGTGTAGCCAGCATTTAACCTTAGAGCCTACCCAGCTTGGAAAGAGAAATAAATTTTCCTTCTGCAGAGGGGATTTAGGACCTAGAAGTCTTAAGGGGGATGGCCAGAAGGCACAGGGCTGGCTTTGGGAGCCAGGGATCTCTCCTAGTGTATCCCTGACAGCCAGAGGCAATGTGAAAGCCACTGCTCTGCGGGCTGAGTGCTGCCCACCACCCCCTTGCCAGCATTTCCCTAGGTGGAGGGAGCTGGGTGCTCACCGAGGGGGAGAGTGGCTGGCAGAGCTGCTCCATGGTACCCAGGGCTCCCCCAGCCATCCTGCATCTCCTGACCTTGCTTGGGGAAGCAGGAGGATGAAATGCTGTGCCACCAGGACACATGCAGGGGGGGAGGTGAATCCAGGAATTGATCCATCTGTCTTGTCCTCCAGCCTGGCTTTTGGCTTTTTTCGGATATGTTCCAGTGAGGAACCTCTGTTCCTGCCCTCACCCCTGAAGAACCATCCTGGGCCTTCTTGTTTTGCTCTGGAGCTTTGGGCGAGGGAGCAGGAGAGCCGCCTTGTCTCCCCACAGCTGCTGAAAGAGGCTATTTGTTCCAGAGCAGGGTGAGATATGAAATCCCATCAAGCCGCCTCGCTTATTAGAGAGATCTCAGCGAGCTGCTTATTATGCACCATGGCATAATGCAGATTACGAATGTGACCGGGCGATAATTAGCAGAGCTGGAACTGTAATTAAACGCTCCTGTGCTGCGCTGTGGTTTCTGTTGCAGAGTGGAAGGAAGCTGAACGGTTTCAGAACCCACAGGTCTTTGACGTGCATATGCAGCCGCCGCTCCCAGGGCGATGGGGGAAATGGGGGCAAGCGGTCCCCATCACCCCCTGGGCTGTTTCTGGTGCCCACCTGAGCCAGGCAATCCTGCCTGGTTCCTCCCTGGCTCTCCTATTGCTGGAGAGTGGCTTGTGGTTTGCAAAATGTGGCGTTGAGGAGCCCCTTCAAAGGAGCCTCACGCTTCCTTGGAGCATCTTGTCCTGGATCCAGCGAGATGCGCGAGATGAGGTTGCTGTGTTTTGGGGGGGTGATTTTTTTTGGGGGTGGGAGCCTCTTGGCAGCTCCTCTGGCAGCCTCCTAGGGTTGTTTTATGCCAAAACCACCTTCCTCTAATCCCATGGGATGCAGTTGGGCAGCCTTGGAGGTGAGGTTGGGCTCCTGAGGGAGAGTTGGTCCACTTGCACTGGAAGAGCAAATCCACTTCTTGAGCCAGAAGGTCTCACAGTTCTCCACGAGGGTCACATTTGCACCCCCTGCCCACAGCCACCCCTGTGGGAGCAGGCAGAAGCCGCTGGCAGATGTGATGTTCTCCTCCCTGCTCCTATGCCTAGAGATTTGTGTCGCTGGGGATGCAGGGAGGCTCTGTGGGGTCAGGAGTTGGTGAGGAGGTGGGATTCTCTAACCACTTGCTGTGTCGTGTGGGGCGGGTGAGGTTGGGCGTGCAAGGTTCTGCTGGAGTCAGATTAAAGGATAGAGGTGTGGGAGCAAGAGAGGGGAGCAGGTGAACTTGGCAGCTGGTCAGGACCAGGGTGGAAGTCAGCAGCAAGGATGGAAGTGGTCACAGGCTGGTGTCGTACCCACATTTGGTGACCATGAACATGGGCTCTCCAGGTCTTCCCTCAGCAGAGGTTTAGGGGGACTCTCTGGGTGTAGTATACTGGGTGCTCTAGAGGGATCTTCCCCTGCTTGAAACCATAGCCCAGGTGAGTGCTCGCTGATGATGTGATGAGTTTCCTCAGCCTGCTTCTCTTCTGAGGTTACCCAGCATCTGATCCAGATCCAGATGGTGAAGAGAGAAGGTCTGAGCTGAGGAAGAGCAGCTCGCCCACAGCTGCTGCAGATCCTCATGAGCCAAGGCAAGGGGCTGGCTGGCTGTGCCTGGCTTGGCTGGTGAACCCTGAAGGACAGGAAGTTACGCCCCCAGCCCTTCCCTTGGCCAGTGCAGAATCAGCCCATCAGCCATCCTGCTCCTGACATTGCTGTAATCTGCTCGCGTGGCAGAGCAGCCAAGGATCTTGGCTTGTCAGCGGCAGGGTGGCTTGGCTGGGCTTTCACTTGGCATGTTGGCTTGTTGGCTTTCCAAGCCCAACTCTGGTCATGGAATGTGGTTTCCATGTGCAAGGAGAGCACAATGGCTAGATCAGGCTCTAAAGCAGACACTTGCACAGGGAAGAGGGATATGATCCAAGCGACTGCGTCTTCAGGTGGTCATAGGGTATATTTGGTGCTGGAAGGAGACCACTACTCGTTTGTCCTGTCCTGCCAGTTGAGCAGAAGCTCTTCTAATGAGCCATCAGGTCCAAAGTCATTGGCTGCATTAACATCTGAGCCATAGCCAAGAGGCATCCCCAGCAGGGATGATTACGGAAGCCGTCGGGGAAGGAACTTGGCAGAAGCTCTTTCAAGCAGGAGCACAGATATCTCCTGCAGGATTTCTGGGTGTGATCTCTGTGACTCCAAAGCGCCGGCTCCCCAGGGTTACGTGGGTATGGGCACACCAGGGTGGGACAGCCCTGTGAGATCCTTGTCCTCTGACAGGGTGTGGGACGTCAACTGAAGGTGGCAGCCCTGGGCTTGTGGTTCTCCAGGAACGTAGATGCCTGTTGATACTTGTTCTCCCTTCCATATTCCCGACAGTATTCCTGACGGTGACCACGTGTTTCTCCTTCCCCACAGATGGAGTCTCCGGTCTCTACGCCCGCGGTGTTGCCCTTGCACCTCCTCGTGCCTGTGGTCAACAACGACATCTCGTCGCCGTGCGAGCAGATCATGGTACGCACCCGCTCGGTGGGAGTGAACACCTGCGACGTGGCCCTGGCCACCGAGCCCGAGTGCCTGGGCCCCTGCGAGCCCGGGACCAGCGTGAACCTGGAGGGCATCGTCTGGCAGGAGACGGAGGACGGTAAGTGTCACAGAGCTCCTCGCTCTCCACCAGTGGAGTTGTGGCAGTCCCTTCCTTCCCATGTCCCTGCTGTGCCATTTGTTGGCACGTCCTGGGCTTTCCCGCCACCAGCTGGGTGGTCAGGACAGAGGAGCCGTGTGGGAGCGGCCTGTAATCCGTCCGGCAAAGGGAGTAACGGGCCAATACTTGCGTCAGCCCCGCTCGTTGTGTTCTCTCCTTGCTCAGACAGCGGGCAAAAATCTGAGCTGCCATTTCTCTGCCTCTCGACAAGAGCTGACTTGTTCCGGAGGTGCTGGGGAAAGGCCGTGCCAGCCGGCACGGGAATTCAACAGAGTTGACTTCATTTTTGCTTGGCAACCCGCAGGTCTGTCACAAAAACGCTCAAACCCTGGGAGGCAGCAGAAATCTCCTGCTGGATTAAAAAACACCAGCAGAGCTCTCAAAATCGACTCGGCGGGAGATCAGCCTCTCAGCTCTCTTGCCAAGCCAATCCAATCTTTTTTTTCCACTGGAGCTCGTCTCATCTGCGCACAGCTTGGTTTGCTTTCCCAGGTTCTTTGATGGGTTTTCGTTGCTGTTGAGGCTCTGCCAAGGAACACAGGGATGAATAGGTGGCTCAGCAGCCCACGGCAAGCACTGGAACCCGGCCTTCCCTCCAGCCTTGCTGGGGTGCTGGAGGTTTCTGCCTTGGGAAGTGCGGGGTGAGCTCCTTGTACTTGTGTCTGGAAGCAGAAAAAGCCTGGAAGCACAAAGGTGAGAGAGCAGCAGTGGTGGAGGCTGGTTGACAGTCATCTCAGCCAGGTATCCATGCGCTCCTCTTGGACATCTGCTCCCGCTCTCCCATCGCTATTCCATGCAGAGAACAAAGCTGTTGGCTTTTATCCCTGGCTGCTCCTCACTGTGACTGCCTTTATCCTCAGTGGAAGCTGAACTGAAATCTGTGTTCCTGTGAGCTGCTTTCAGTGGGGTTCCCTTCTTGCCCTGTGCTTTGGGAGGACAGGGATGGGCCCAGTTTGCCTTCCCCCTCTCCCTACTGGGAAACTGGTTTTGAAACAATGATTGGTACAGGACTGAGTGCTGCAGTGGCCCCTGATGTGAGCACAGAAGTTGTTCCCCGTGGAAAAAGCATATTAGAAATAGCACTTGAGCTATTGGGAAGAGAGGAGTGCATGGACCATGCTGGGGAAGTCTGGGATGTCTAGCTTGGAATGGGGACCTCTGCACTCCTCTGCCCTCTCTGCTTCACCATCTGTTCCATATGGAAAAACTCATCTGGATCAAGGCAGCTGGGAGCTACGTGTTTTTTATGGTGCTCCAAGGGAGAAGGACATCACACATTACAAAATCTGGGAGAAGGAAACAAGAAGCAGGAATGTTCAAGAGCCCTGCTCTGCACATCTCAGGGACCGGAGGATCTGCTGGGGGAAGGTGCTCTGAGGAGACCTGCGGAAGGTCTCTGCTGAGCTCCCAGCGCCGGCACTGCTGGTTCCAGGTCTGCAAGAGCCCCATCGCTTTCCAGGATGCAGCACCTTCAGTGGGGAACCTGAGGCACAGCCGGGCTGGGGGTTGGGACACGCAGCACTGCAGAGGAGCATCGGCACCCCCCCACTCATGGGGCTCCCCCACCTCCCTGTCCCCATCAGTCTGTTCTTCTGTTGTGACTTTCCTCAACCCAAAATCCCCAGAGCTGCAGAGTTGCCTGAAAATCCCATGGACCCCCATGGACAGCAGCAAAGCTGATGAGAGCTTGCTTGTATGGGTTTTTTTGGATGGAAATCAGGAGAGGCTTATGATGGCCATGCCAGGAGGAATAAACTGAATATCCCTGAGGCAGAGAGCACAAAATCATTCTCCCTTGCAAATTTCTGGCAGTGCCATGAGAGCAGTTTCTGTTCTCCCCTCCCTTTTCCCCTGCTCCTCATCCCACCGTGAAGCTCTGTGCCTGTCTGCCTGTCCGTCTGCATTACCCCTCACTTCTGCAGCCACCGTTTCGGAGCATGCCTTGGAGGCGTCCTGCCATTTCCCACAGCCCCGATATTTTTAGTCTGTGGTAATTCAGTGAACTCACACAGAGATCCTTCTCTGCCGGCTGCTGATGGTTGCCACCGTCGGGAGCAAGGATTTCACATCCAGCCAGCCCTGCAGAAGACGAGCCCTGACGTTTCCTTTGGTTGCTTCTGGTCGGCTGCATGTGTTGGCTCTGGTTATAGCGGCATCTCCTGTCCTCGAGTGAAAAAGCATTGTCCTCCATCCTGCATAATCCCAGGATTTTTTCATACATTGCCAACCTGGATGGCAACCTTACACTATCATCCACCCTTAATTTTTCCAGCCAGAATATGACTGTGCAGTGATGGGAACAGTTGGTGACCAGGGTGCTGAGTGGTTTGCACCCAGACTTGAGTGGTGTTGATTCCTTAAGAGCTTCAAAGGTGTCATCTTCCCATGAAACCAGGTGGGATTGGAGTTATCCAAGTGGGATTCCTCCTCTTCAAGAGCATCTCCATTCTCGGAGGCGCGGGAGTGTTACATCCTTACTGCCCACTCTTGCCATGCCTGTGCCTGCCCATCATTCTGCCACGGGAGGGGGACATGGTGGGTGAAAAAAGCTGCTTAGGATCTATCCCAGGGTTTAAATTGTCCTGGGTTATTGTTGGAGGATTAGGAAGGGATTTGGTATGATTGGTTGCAGTGGGTTAAATATAGGCTGATGTGTGTTGGAGGGCTGGTGTTCCAACAGGGAAGGGAGGGACGGTGCTGGCTCGCTTCGCCCTTTCCTCTTTCATCTCTCTCTTGTGATTGTGGTGGCAGGGAGTGAAAAAACGCCAGCACCTCCTTTCTAATATCACACTTTGGCCCTGAGATACACAAGGGACTCCAGTGGCTTGTCATGCAATTAACTTCCAGTGGCGCAGGTGGGCTTCGCCAGCTCAAAGAGGGATTGAACTGGCAGGGAGGGCAGAGGGACTGGGAGGGGTGGGGTCCAGGTTAGGGCTGCTTGCTCCTCAGTGGCTGCCAGGTCCTTGGGCAGCTCCTGGGAGCATCCCACAGCAGCCCCACAGGGGTGTCCTGGGAATGGTGGGGCTGGGTTGGGGCACAGGATGCAGCCAGCAGCTTCTTTGGGTTTTAAGGAAAGGTGGACAGGCTCCTGCCTGCCAAAAAAACGCTGCATTAGGAGGAACAGAGATAGAAGAGCACATTCCATGTGCCCTTCTTGGGATACCTGGGACTAGCATTCCCCTCTTCCTATCCATCCCTCCATGTGTGGGGCCATGGTTTCTATCTCAGGTCATCTCCATCATCATATCTTGCCCATGTCCATGTTAAGGCAGGTCCCCAGCACCTTCCTCCAAAGGCAGGACCCAGCCATTCCTGCTCACAGGGATGAGCCAGTTGTGGGTTTTGGCCGTGTGCTGGCACTGTGTCTTCCCATGACCTGCTCCCAATGTTTTCCTGGAGGAGAAGGAGAAAGAGAAGGTCTGAATTTCATTTCTCTTTCTGAGGGAAACCCACATGTCGGGCCTCGGCTCCATGTATTATCCATGCCGGAGTCTGCAGCTGGCTGCTGGCACAGCACAACAGGGATTGTGGGCTGAGATTTATAAACACGCTTCAGGCACAGCTGCTCCAGGCTCCCTCAGCTCCATCCATCTCCCGGGGCCGTATATCTCACTGCGCTTATCAACCCTTGCGAACGCGTTTCCTATCTCCCGAGTTTTACCTTGCTTGGATAAACGTGCTTGGCACAACGGAATCCGCTCTACTAGTGTGGAAATCAGCAATTTATGGCAGGGAGGAGGTGCCCCACTGCTGAGGGATGCTGTGGAAGACCCCTCTGCCTCCCAAAAGTGGTGCTGAGAGTCCACGGCCTTGGCATGGGTGTGAGCCAGGCTGCTCCTCTTCTGAATTAGTGGGAGAAAGCTGAAACCCTGAGTTTTCTGAATGCTTTTGCTCTGAAAGAGGAGGATGTGGCCTCACAGATGCTTCTCCAGGTGGAGATATAGGGCAAAGGGGTGTCACTAGAGATGCTGGAGCAAAGCAACATGGGGTTGTTCCACCAGGATTGGGTTTTCCTGCCAGGGATAGTCGCCTGAGCGGGAATGCTGAGCTCAGCTTGCCATCTAGTGGCAGTAATGACATTTTCCAGAGAGCCATGAGATTCATGGCCACACTCGGAGGGTGTCACAGCCCCACTGGTGTGTCTGCAGCTCCACATTGGGGCCCACAGGCTTGCTGAGGGCTTTCTGCTTTTCCCCTGGGGGCTTCTCAGCCCTCACTCCCCAGAGATTGCCTTCCTTACCCTACCTGAATGCACATGCAGCTATAGTGGATCTTCAGCCCCCCACCAGATCCCACAGCCTTTTGGGGATGGCTGGGTTTAGCATCCCCACGAAAATAGGGAAGAGGAGGAGAGGTTGAGTGGATGCCGGCCAGAGCCGTGCTGAGAGAGGGAATGAGCTGAGAGGTCTCTAGCTCCATTTTGGTGCCACTCCAGCCTCTCCCAAAAGAGAGTCTCACCTCTCCCAAAAGCCCAAGATCCCTCGTCTGCCTTCCTCCGGCGCTAGAGCTGAGCTCTTCCTCCTGCCTATCTGAAGAGGCAGGTCCCTGACACTGCTAGATCAAACCTGGCCCCATCTGAACCTTTCCCCTTGCCTTGCAGGGATGCTGGTGGTCAATGTCACCTGGAGGAACAAGACGTACGTGGGGACGCTGCTGGACTGCACACAGCACGACTGGGCTCCTCCCCGGTAAGTGGGTGGTGGGCTTTGGGGGCTTCCGGGCACTGAGGGCAAACCCAGCCCCATACAGCCCCCATACACTCTGCTCTGTGCCTGTGGGGCTGCCACAGGGGTTGGCATCTCCTGCCTGCACAAATGAGCTGCTCCCGTGGCTCTTTGCCCTCGCAGTCACAGGTCTGTTGTCCTGGGGAAGTGAGGATGGTTGAGCACATCCTGGTGGACCTCTCTAGTTCCTCTGTATTGGCCAGTGGGGGGATGAGTCTATGGGATTGGTAGCAAGGGGAAGAAGGGGGTCCCCACCGTGCCACGGGCATGACCATCTCTCCATTAAAACTCCCATGTCCTCCTCCCGGCAGGTTCTGTGACTCTCCCACCAGCGACCTGGAGATGCGCAATGGCCGGGGCAGGGGCAAGCGCATGCGCCCCAACAGCAACACGCCAGTGAACGAGGCGGCCGCTGCCTCGGACAGCAAAGGGACCAGTAACAGCAGCAAGACCCGGGCAGGAGCCAACAGCAAGGGGCGCCGGGGCAGCCAGAACTCCTCGGACCACCGCACTCCACCTGGTGGCACGGCCGAAGACGTGAAGGCCAGTCCCTCCTCCGTCACCAAGCGGAAGAGCAAACCCCTCTCTGACATGGAGGTGAACTCCAGCTCGGAGGACTCCAAGGGCAGCAAACGCATCCGCACGAACTCGATGGGCTCAGCCACCGTGCCGCCCGCCACGGTCAAGGTGGAGCCGGCTGTCCTGGACCGCAACTGCCCTTCTCCCATCCTCATCGACTGTCCCCACCCCAACTGTAACAAGAAGTACAAGCACATCAATGGGCTGAAGTACCACCAGGCCCACGCGCACACAGATGATGACAGCAAGCTGGAGGCGGACGTGGACAGCGAGTATGGTGAGGAGCCCTCCCTGCACGCCGACGTCGGGAGCTGCAATGGGGCCGCCGGCTCTCAGAAGGGCTCGCTCTCGCCGGCTCGCTCGGCCACTCCCAAGGTGCGCTTGATGGAGCCCCACAGCCCCTCCCCATCCAGCAAGTTCAGCACCAAGGTCCCCTGTAAGAAGAAGGTGGGTGGGGAGGGGGACACGGACCCAGGTGCTCTGTCCAATGATGGCTCTGAGGATGGTCCGTCGGTGGCTGATGAGACGAGTAATGACGACTTTGACTCTCTGGAGAAGCGATGTGTTGATAAGGACAAGTCAAAGAAGGCCTCTGGTGCTAAGCAGGAGAAGATCCCTTCCAAAAGCTTGAAGTCTGCCAGACCCATTGCACCAGCCATCCCCCCGCAGCCAATTTACACCTTCCAGACTGCCACCCTCACCACCGCCAGCCCCGGCTCATCCGCCGGCCTCGCCACCACCGTGGTCCAGACCATGCCCAACAGCCCCCAGCTCAAACCTATCCAGCCCAAGCCAACAGTGATGGGAGAGCCCTTCACTGTCAACCCTGCCCTCACCCCTTCCAAGGAAAAGAAGAAGAAAGACAAGAAGAAGAAGGAGCCCAAGGAGGTGGAAAACCCTTTGACTCCTGGCAAAGCCTGCAGAGCGGAGGAAGGCAAGAGCCCTTTCCGGGGGGAATCCAGCGACTTGGGAATGAAAGGCGAGGGGCTGCTGAATGGTTCATCTGACCCCCACCAGAGCCGGCTCGCCAGCATCAAGGCTGAGGCGGATAAAATCTACAGCTTCACCGACAACGCACCCAGCCCCTCCATCGGTGGTGCCAGCAGGCTGGAGAACACCAACCCAGCCCAGCCCCTGACCCCGCTGCATGTTGTCACCCAGAACGGGGCAGAGGCCAGCTCAGTGAAGACCAACAGCCCGGCCTACTCAGACATCTCCGACGCTGGGGAGGACGGGGAAGGCAAGCTGGAGAGCGTGAAGGCAAAGGATCCGGAGCAGTTGGTCAAGGAAGGCGCCAAAAAAGCTCTTTTCCCCCCACAACCTCAGAGCAAAGAGTCTCCCTACTACCAAGGCTTTGAAACGTACTATTCCCCAGGCTACCCCCAGGCTAGCCCAGGTCCCCTGAACCCCGGCGGGCAGTCCGTGGCTGAGACACAGGCCTTGAAACTGAAGAAGGACGAGGAGCAGGAGAACCCAGACGTGAAGGTGAAGAGCGAAGGCTGCGAAGAGAAGAAGGCAGAGCTTGGTGGTGGCTCCAGCCAGCAGCCCTCAGTCATCCAGCAGCGCCCCAACATGTACATGCAGTCCCTCTACTACAACCAGTATGCCTACGTGCCGCCCTACGGCTACAATGAGCAGGGCTACCACGCTCACCTGCTGAGCACCAACCCTGCTTACCGCCAGCAGTATGAGGAGCAGCAGAAGCAGCGGCAGAGCCTGGAGCAGCAGCAGCAGCGGGGACTGGAGAAGAAGGCAGACCTGGGCTTGAAAGAGAGGGAGGCAGCGCTCAAAGAGGAGTGGAAGCAGAAGCCACCAATGCCACCGACACTGACCAAAGCCCCAAGCCTCACAGACCTCGTCAAGTCAGGGCTGAACAAGCCCAAGGAGCAGGGAGGTCCTGACATGGCCAAATCTGTCATCATCCCCAAGCTGGAGGACTCGTCCAAGCTGTCTGGCAGCCAGGTCGCTGAGGGGCTCAAGGTGAAGCTGAGCGAGGCCAGTCACCTCGGGAAGGAAGCTGCCGAGACTAAGGCTGGCTCTGAGTGTGGCCGGCAAGCGGAGGTGGACCCTGTGCTCTGGTACAGACAGGTAATGCCCTGCCCTGTCTACCAGCCCAGCTGGGTGTTTGCTTCTGGAGGAAGCCCCTCACCGTGGCTTTGCCACAGGGTTCTACTGGGACCATCACCTTGGAGAACACGTGTTGTCCTCTGCTTGTGGTGGGACTCTGTGAGATTCCCTTGGGGCCCAGAAAAGGGATGGGGCTGTGAGGCCACGGATGGGCCAAGGAGAGCCCGGGGAAGGGGAGTGGAGTTCACTGGTCTCCTCCAAACTCAGGCTGGGTTTGGGACAGGCAGGGCTGGGGGGAGGCGGGTGTTCTGATGGTTGGCTGTTCTTGCAGGAAGCCGAGCCCCGGATGTGGACGTATGTGTACCCGGCAAAGTACTCGGACATCAAGACGGAGGATGAGCGGTGGAAAGAGGAGAGGGACCGAAAGTTGAAGGAAGAAAGGAGTAGAAGCAAAGAAGCCACATCCAAGGAGGACGGGAAGGAGAGCACCAGCTCCGAGTGCAAGCTGACCCCCCCTGAGGAGCCTCGCATGGTGGGGAAGGACCCCAGGCCCAGTGTCCATGTCCCTGTGTCCTCACCCCTCACGCAGCACCAGTCCTACATCCCCTACATGCACGGCTACTCCTACAGCCAGTCGTACGACCCCAACCACCCCAGCTACCGCGCCATGCCCACCGTCATGATGCAGAATTACCCAGGTAGGGAGCCAGGGCCTTCCTGGGGACATCCCTTCCCAGCTGTCCCTGCTCTCGGGATGGGGGGCAGCTGCAGGACATCCTCTCGCACACATACAGAGCCATGTGCTCCCACTATACTGCCTGAATCCTCCCTGTGTTCTGACTGCTTTTCTCCCCCCAGGATCATACCTACCCTCCAGCTATTCCTTCTCTCCATATGGGAGCAAGGCATCCGGCAGTGATGACAGCGACAAGTCCCGAGCCAGCCCCAGCGTGAGCTGTAAATCCAGCTCAGAGTCCAAGGCCCTGGACATCCTGCAGCAGCACGCCAGCCACTACAAGAGCAAATCACCCACGGTGAGGGTCAGGAGCACACTGGCTTCGCCCAGCTCTGTGGAACAGTCCTGGGATTCTGTACCCAGCTGGGAGCAGCTCCGCCTGCCATGGGGTTTGCTGTACCTGCTGCTGTGGGAGACCCACAGCCATGGTGTATTACCACGGTACAAATCCTTTGGGATGGACCAGCCAAACCTGTGGGCAGGGCTGGCCCAGGGAAGCACTGGGGCTCCTCCAAACCCTGCAGGAACCTGGTGACACTTGTCCATAGCCTTGGAGCTAGTGGGTGATATGCAGGGGCTGTCTCCATCCCATGGCTTCTGCTGGGCTGAGCTGGGAGACGGAGTTTGGACATGGTGAGAAAAGAGCTGCCCTCAGACAGGACTTGTGTCCTCCCCATGGCTTTTGGGCTGTGAGCCTGGTCACCTCATGGGGGGTCTTTGGGCAAAGGTGGGGAGTATCACCCTGAGATGTGCCCTGGGGTGGCTGATCGCGTCCCTAAGCGTGTGTCTGCTTTCTCCTCTCCAGATAAGTGAGAAAACATCTCAGGAGCGGGACCGCAGTGGCTGTGGGGTGGTGGGGGGCAGCGGGAGCTGCAGCAGCGTCGGGGGAGCTGGAGCAGGAGAACGGAGCGGCGACCGACCCCGCACATCGCCCTCCCAGCGCCTGCTCTCGACGCATCACCACCACCACCACCTCGGGTACTCGCTGCTGCCGGCACAGTACAACCTGCCCTATGCAACAGGTGAGAGCTGGGGCCGGGCTCAGGGGAGCTGGGAGGGAGCTGGACCCACCCTTGGGCCGTGGGAGCCCTTGTGCTGTTCCCTGGTCTGGCTGGGTGCCTGGCCCAGGCTGCTGGATCCTGACGCCACTTCTCCTCCGCAGGTCTCTCCTCTACAGCCATCGTTGCCAGCCAGCAAGGCTCTACTCCCTCCCTATACCCACCTCCCCGGAGGTGAGAACGGTAAGGCTCTGCTCCTGCTGGGATGGGCACGAAGGGGGTGCCCTCAAGGGTTTAGGGTCCGCCCATCGCCCCAGGGGCTCGTGGGACCTGACTTGCCCTTGGGTTGTGGCAGGACGTGAAGCACTGGGATGCCTGGGCTGTACAAGACATGTGACTGGCTCACATGGGGAAGCGCTGGAGACTCCTTTAGACATCAGTTGAATGGTGTTAATTGTTCTGCTTGACGTTCCTGCCGTGATCCGAGGCAGACTCTGTCTTCTCCCCCCTGTCGGACACACACTGACTGTCCCCCACACCCCCTTTGGTGAGTGGGTGAGCTGGTGCCTGCGGAAATATTTATTCTACTGGGCACCAGCGCTCGGGATGGAGGCGTCTTGCCCGTCTGGTGCATATGAAGAGGAAACAGAAGCACTGAGGTTTCTTGATGGATTTGGGACCCCACCGTGTCTCTTCGAGCTGCTGCTTCATGATGGGACTGGGGGCAGGCGGGGGCTCGGAGTGTGGGGCTGAGCCTGCTGTGGGGTCTCAGGAAAGGAAGGGCTGGCTCACATGGAGCCACAATGGGCTTGGGGGGGGCTGTTGTGAGCCTGAAGGTGGTGTCAGCCTGGCCGGAGAGAGCCGTGGGGCACGGGGGTGTGCTGCATGTGAAGCTCTCCCTCTCCCAGTCCCTCATCTGGTCCTGCAGCCCACAGCACCTGCTGCTCTGTGTCCATGGGCAGGAGCCACTGGTGTGGCCAATGGCTGGAGCAGGGCTAGGGAGCTGGGGGAGCTCTTTGCCCCAGTGAAGCAGCCACTGCCCTGGGGGGCCAGGGCTCCATGGGGTTGGGGGCAAGTGGGGCACAGAGTTGGGGGCTGTGCCTGTCACCCCACCTGGGGCTGCTGGGGTACCCCGTGCCGTGCACAGTCCAGACCTGCCCGAAGCTCCTGCCCGTCACTTTCGAATTGGTTTCTGAGCTGTAACTCGGCAACACCCCCAGCCTTTCCTCTGCCCCCCTACCCTGGCAAATGCTCCCCGAACCCTGGGGCAGCATATCCTGCTGGGGGGTGGCTGTAGCTCCCCTTTTTATCCACCTTTTGCTTTTAGGGCGGCTCCCCCAGGCCGTGGGCAGGGCGCAGCGAAGAACAAGCACACTTAGGTTCTGCCAGAGGCACGTGGGGCTGTGCTGGTCCCTGCTCTGGCCTCGTGCCGGGGCTGGGGGCACCAGGCCCTGGAGGAAGCCGGTCCCTGCTCCCGGCTGTTCCCCAGCACCGAGGACAGGGGCTTTCTGGTCCTCTGCCCCCAGCCCCAGAGCAGCTCTCCCTGGGCCGATGCTCTACCTCGGCCCCGCAGCGGCTGGGCCGCCCCAGCTCTCCCCCCTCTCCTGCTGCCCGGCTGGGGGGACATGGGGGCCGTGGGTCTCGGTCGTGTGTGTGTGTCCATGTCGCACCCGGCCCCGAGGGCCGCTGTACGGGGATGCTCTGCCCGCCGGGCTCTGTACATACTGTAAAAAGCAATTGTTTGAAAGCTGTTGTTTTGGGTTTTGTTTTCTTTCCCCATTTCTCCCCCATCCCACTGTACCCAGCTGGAAAGGAGGCTCTGGCTCTCTCGGCCCTGGTTCAGGTGCTGGCAGCGCGGTGGCCCCAGCCTGCTCTTGTTCGACTCATTTTTCCCCCACTCTTCCTTGTCTTTGGAAGGAGGCGGGGCTGTGTGCCCCAGCACGCTCCGCAGGGACAGGGTGGGCTGTGCCCAGCGGCGGCTCCACCCGCCCCGCGCCCCTTCCAGAGCCACACGCAGCCACGGGGCTGGGGACTGGAGGGGTCGGGGTGCTTGAGGGAGCCCCACAACACACCCGTGGAGGAGTGTCCCACTGGCTGCTCCTACCTCCAGCCTCGGCCGGTCCGGCACAGCCTGGTTCCCAGCACAGCCTGGTTCCCAGCACAGCCTGGTTCCCAGCACGGCCGGGGCCCACCAGCGGCTCCCAGGGGCACAGAGGAGGGTGTTGGGGCAGGGGGGGCTTGGGGGGTGCCACGGGCTTTGTTGGCAGTCGAAGGGTGTCAGGGGGCTGCTCCCCACCTTCCCAGTTGGGTCCCACTTGAGTCTCCCTTTAGGTGTTAAATGAAACAACCGTTTATGCAGAATAGGTTTGAGGTTTGACGTATCTGGGTTCTCTGGGTCAGTTGTTGCCCGTGGGGCCTCACCCGGCCCCCGCACTGGGGGGGTCCCCACTGCCCGGCCCCTGGCCAGGGCGTCGGACCGTTGGTGTTTATAGCTCTTGTTTCCATTGGCGTTGCTGTGTTGGGTTTCATTTCAGTCTTCCTGACTCTGCCCTTCTGTAAAGTGTACATTATTACCGAGTTCCTTGTTTTTTTATATATATATATATATAAATATATATATATACAAACTGTACTCTTCTTGCCTTTGTACATTTGGGCAAGGAGGGAGAATAAATCTTTTTAAGAGACAATCACAAACCTGTGAGGGTGGCTTTTTCTTCCTGCTCCCCCCAAGTCTGGTCCTTTACCCCCCAAAAGCTGTGGCCAGTGATTTTTGGGGGTGGGAGAGGGGGTTACCCCATCTCTGCGGCATGTGAGAGGGCTCAAGCAGCCTCATTGGTCTGAGGCTGCATCCCTGTGCCCCTGCATCCAGCCCCTCCACTCTGCCCTGGCACTCAAAGCTCCTGGGGGTGCTGCAGCTGAACTCAGAGGGGATAATTTGGGGCAGAACCCCCCAGGCTTGAACCCCTGGGCACCAAGGTCCTGCCCTCCACCACTGCCCCCCGGAAGGCACTGGGCAAGCGGGGGGTGCCACGGGGCAGGGCTTGGCTCCTCCAGCTCCACCACGGAGCTGATCCGTGCAAGAGGCAGCACCCAGGGGCAGCAGAGGTACCTTCCACATTTTCTTGAGGGTGTTTCTGAAGACACCAGTGATCTGAGACCTCCATATCTGCCTGCCTGTGCTGGAGGCAGGGCAGGGGAGAATTTGGAATTGTCAGAGCTGAACCGTGCAGTGGCACAGCCTTGTCACTACAGCTCATTAAGGAGCTCAGATCAGCCTCACTCCAGCTCCTATGAACCAGGATCCTGCACTTGACTAGTAAAGGAGCAAAGTGGTTCCCATCCCATCACCTTCAGGATGTGCCCAAGGGGAGCACCATGTGGTGGCAGCAGGGCCCTGGCACATGCAGGGGCAGGAGCAGGGGCAGCTCCAGCTGTAAGAAGGGATAAAACTGGGCCCTTCAAAAGCCAGAAGCAGCCCCCTTCCCTGGGGCCTGTCAGAGCCAGCCAGGATAGAGCTCCCATGGCAGAGGGACAGAGCACTGCCTCTCCAGCATTAGACAGGGCAGGGATGTGACCTACTGCCAGCACCATGGCCCCATCCTGGGAAAGCTGCTGGATGGGGAGACCATCCACTACCTGCCCCCACACAACCCTTTGGTTTGGATACAGCCTTTAGCAGCATCTCAAGCCTTGAGCTCATGCCTTTGGGAAGGTGGAGTAGAGGAGAGGGCCCAGGGCTGCTCTGTACCCATCCTGGGTGAAGTGTAAAGGCAGGAGCTTTTTCTGGCTCTTTGGACCATCCCAACCATCATGGTGCACGTCAGGAAACTGTCTCAAATAAGCAGCCCCAGGTGTGTGAAGTTCATCTGAATGCCCCTTTTATTGAACGCCGTGATAGCGCAGTGGGAACATGGAACAGGGTTAAGACTGCGTAAAACAAAAGCTGGAAGAGCAAGAAGTTTCAAAAGAAAAAAAAAAAGGGAAAAAAAGTTAGACCAGTTAAACCAGCATTGGAGCAGAGACGCATGGGGGGTTTAATGTAGTGTTAAAGGATAAACTCGAGCGTCTCCTGCACATGCCCCACACCAAACCAGGCCATTTGCTTTAAGTCTTGAGTGGGAAATGAAAGCGTTGTCTCCCAGCTGAGCACGCACCGGGCAGGTGGGAGGCACCGCCGTGGGTCCGGTGGAGTCCCGGGGGTGGTGCTGCACCCCGAGCAGGGCCCAGGCCCCGGGGCTCCCACACCACGCAGCTGCACGGGAAGAGCTTCTATGCCAGTTCATAAACATCTTCCTTTTCCTAGTGATGATTACATGTGTGATAGATAGTTCTCTAGGCAACACGTTTCAATGAGAGTCAACTCTGGGGATACACAGCCCAATCTAACAATGAGAAATGCGCTTGCAGTCCAACAGAAACTTGGTTTCCCTTTCCTCAAGAAAGGAGGTGGAACCCTCTCTCCCCTCCACAGCATGTTGGGTCCCCACTGCAGCTACTCTTCGTCGGAGGAGGAGCTCTGATCCAGGGGGTACACCATGAACATCACGTCCGGCCGCGACGGGACTGCGGGGTGACCAGGCCGCACGATCTCAAAGCCCAAGAAGCTGAATGTCTTCAGGAGTGGAGCTACCAAAGAGAAGGAGACTCATTACCACCAGGAATGATCCTCTTTACCTGCCTCACCCTTGAGCCATGAATATCCAAGAGCATCGAACACCCTCTGGGAGCACATCCAGAGCTTCCTGGACAGAGAGGGAACTATGTTAAGGTGACAGCCCTTTCCAGCAGGAGGTTTTGTCTTTTCCTGTGCTCATCCAAGTGTGAAAGGGATTTGAGCTGTGCAGCTTTGTCCATGTTTCTTCCTTCCTCTGACAAACAGTGACAGTTGGTCATCTACCTGCACCAGCCGCACAGCCCTGCTTTCCCAGGACACATGTGGCCATCCCACAGGTTTTATCCTGCACTTCTCTGGGCCCTAAAGCAGGACAGACAGCAGCAAGCAGGAACCTGCTTAGGAGGTAGGCAGACACTTGCTGTCTCCATGAGGAGGTCCTGGAGCTCAGTGCAAACTCCAGACAGCTCTGCACAGCTTGGGAGCACCCCTGGAAATTCACACATGGGAATTCCGAGTGGGGTCAGCCCAGAAGCCCCCACACCTCAGGGCTGCCAGACAAGGTTCTGTGACACAGTGACTGTTACTGAAGTGATGGCTTCCCTGTGACCTGTGACAGTCACTCCAGTGCAATGTCTGGTTCCTACAGGCCCCTCGAGTGATCAGCTCCAGGGCACTGAATGGCCAAGCAGAGGAGCTCCTGGAGGTATCTTCCAGGCAGCACTAAATTTCAGCTGCACTCGGGATCTGGGGTGCTCCACAACTCCTACAAACAAGCCCTGGTATGGGCTGTCCCCTGTCCCCAGCCTGTCACCCACGCAACCGCGCCGCTGGTGGTGACATAACAGCCAGGACTTAATCTGCAAATTATTCTTGGCATGGTAATATGGGATGATGACATCTTCCTGGGCTCAGCTCAGCTTAGCTCTACTAACGCCCTTCGTTTCGGAGAAGTCGGTGCAGCTCATGAAGCTGCAGAGTAAAATTAGAGCTGGGGTTGGAATTACTTGCTGGGTTACAGCCTGTGCCTGGTGGGACTTAAAGTGACATGTCCCCAGCCTGGTACCTCCCCCAGCCCCCCCTGCTTTAATTCCTCACCCAATGCGTCTGTCTTTAGATCCTAAAGCCCCCGGAGCTGTAAGAGTTTCCAGCCAGGGCCAGGATTACCTGTAAATCTGGGAAGGGCAAAAGTGCCAGGAGATCTTTAAAAAGCAGCTGAATTACAGGACACTAATCTGGAAGTGCTTGTTTCCCATCTAATAACTCCTCCCTGGTTTCACCTTCCACATCACTGCAGCCTGGTGCCAAACAGAGACTTCACTGCTTACCAAAAGGGGAATATTAACTGATTCTGGATGAGAAAAGCCTCCCAAGTCATTCAGGAGCAGCTTTCTGCACCAGAGTATTTAATGGCAAGGCACAAAAGAAGGTCTTATCATGGAATCACAGAACGGTTTGGGTTGGAAGGACCTTAAAGCTCATCCAGTCCCAGCCCCTGCCATGGGCAGGGACACCTTCCACTAGACCAGGTTGCTCCAAGCCCCATCCATCCTGGCCTTGGACACCTCCAGGGATGGGGCAGCCACAGCTTCCCTGGGCCACCTGTGATGTTGCTGTCCAGCAGACCTGCTGGAGAAACAGAACACTCCCTCACCCTTACCCTCCAAAAAGGGCTTATTTCCTCCACAAGAAACTATTTCCGTGAGAATTTCACATGTAACAACCTCTGCAACAGGAAGGGTCCCATGGGCCTTGCCCTGGAATTCCCAGGTTTCTGTACAGCTCCAGCAGCACTATGTGGGCTGTCAGGACAAACCCAAGCCCAGGGGCCAGTCCTCACCTCGATCTTCTCTGCTTTTTCTGAAGCAGATGAAGACGTAGTTGACTTTCATTTTTTCTTCAGCAAACTCCAGCAGTGCTGACAACCTGCCAAGGAGGGGGAAGACAAAAGGACATCAGCTCTAGGAAGTTCTGTCCTGAGGAAGCCTCTGTGTGTTATCAAATTATCAACTGGATGTTTTCAGGCACAAAGACTGTTTACAGCCCCCTTCCAGTGAACAATGGGTGCTGAAACAATGGCCTTCCTGCCCTGCAGATCCAAGAGTTGTCCTTGCTGTGAGTAACCGACAAGTCCCTGTCCTGGCAGCCATGAACACCCTCCCCACCCGTGGTGCTTTGGGACTGAAGCCTTAGTGGGCAGGAAGCAGAACATCACAGCTGGTCCCAGGCCAGGCTGCATCCCCCTCCACTGGCAACGCACACCAGGGGGACGTGAATTCTGTGCTTTTTGGGAAGGAAAAACATTCAGAACTGAGCTCCTGGCAGGCAGAGAAGGAGAACAAACCATCCCTGGAGAAGCGTGTGCACAGGCAAAGCTGTTTCCTGAGCGCATGGACTGGATGGCACAGCTGCTGCACCCTGAATCCTCGCTTCCTGCCTTTCCAGTTGGATTATTTCTGCCACCTCTTGATGGAAGCGGCGCTGCATTAACCCCTCTGCGAGCCCCCGGGGTGGCACATGGAGCCACCGCTGTCACTTGTAACCACTGGCGCTGCCAGAGCGGTGACAAACAGGCCTTCACTCCACATCTCATTAACCAGCCATCAGCACGGGGGGATTAAATTTGCAAGGGTTCTGTTAATATGTTAATGAACTACTTTAATTATGGCCTCTCCTCGGCTGTTTCACCCAGCTAAAAATAACCTGACAAAACTGCGCTTTAAGTCACAATGACACTGGCAAATAAATCCCCTCTCAGAAGGACCCGCTCCCCGGAGAGCCGGGAGATTTACGGGCCAACCGGAGAAATTACACAAACATTTATCTGGACTCGGGGTCAAATGAGACAAGTGTGAGACAGCAACAGCACTGCCACTTCCTGAAGGTGCCCAGTGAGGGGTTTTTCCTTAATTAGCCTGCGTCACTTAGGGATGAAGCCTACTTGGAGATTTAGGAGGAGCTGAGAGCTCCACAAAGGAATCCAGCAAAGCCACAGTTCCATTGCAGCGGAGACCTCTGGCAGAGCACTTGGCAGGAAGGAGCTGCTCTGGAAGCTGCGTTTACACAAACTTCCCAGAGCTGAGCTGTCTGGACAAAACATGACTGGATTCTGCCAAGAGAAAAATCAGAGCTCCTGGCAGAGCCCAGCGCCAGCGCGGCAGCGCTCCAAGAGCAGATCCACCTACTGATGAGGAGAGCATCCATAGGATGGAGGGGTGTTTTTTTCCCTGAAAAAGAGGAAAACCTGCCAGGATAAGACTTGTCAAGTGGCCAAGATAAAAATAAAAATATAATGAATAAAATGAAAAAATAGTAAAATATCAGAGAAAGGCTTGTTGGCTTTCCATACCTAAGTATGCAAAGATTCATCTGCTCATTTACTGCTTGTTTTTCATTAGTGTTGGGACTCAAAAAATGGTAACTCATCTGAAGTATCAAAATATATCCATGAAGGCCTAACAGGACAGTTCTCTGCAGGCATGGGAGCAGGATGTGCTTCAGACACACAACCCAGGAATGGAGCTGCTATTGCTCAGCTCATTCTCCCTGTACCCACAGCATGGAATCCCAGCATGGTTTGGGTTCGAGGGGACCTTTAAAGCTCATCTCATACCATCCCCTGCCAGTGATACCAGGGACACCTTCCACAAGACCTGGTTGCTCCAAGCCCCATCCAAACGGGCTTTGGACACTTTAAGGGATGGGGAGTCCACAATCACCTATGTAAGCAAAGCCCTGCCCTGCTTCCCCCCCGGGAGCCATGGCTGCAGCCCTGGGATCCTGAACTTACCCTTCTTTGCTTCCATCAGCTAATAATCCATCAGGGATTTCCACAAAGAGGCTCTGGTTTGAGAGCACTGCATCCCAGGAGGAGGTCTTCACCTCTGTGACCTTGTACTGGAAGTGGACAATGTGAGGCTTCCCTTCGTGCACTGGGACATCTTGGCTAACAGTGATCTTCTCGTCCTGGGAAAACAAAATTGTCAAGTCCTGAACAGCCAGGGGACAACTGCAGAGAGCAAATGCAAATAAATGGCGTAAGGGTTTTACTGAGAAGAAGATTATGCTTTTCCCTTCCCCTTTCACTGGCTCAGGGACACATCTTGCAGTTCTCAGCCCTCAGAGTGATTTCTAGCCAAGGGTAGTGATGGTTCACGAGCTGTCCTTCAAAGAACACAACTGGACCCAATACAATGGCAGAGCTTCTGCTGCCACAGCCTGACCAGTGGAAACCAGTGCCTCCCCCATCCCCAACACAGCCCTTCTGTTCCAGGGATGACCACAAATTGCTTTCCCAGATGTTCCAACCCATGGTTTGCCTCCTGGTGTGAGAGAGGAAAACACACAGCGCAGGGAGATCCCAGAGCAGATCTGAGGCTGGTGAGAAGGTCGTCTCCAGAGACCACAAAGGCACATGTCCCTCTCCAGCCCTGCCCCAGCAAGAATGCCAAGCATGCGGATCTCAGATCCAGTTCGGCAGTTCCTAGAAAACAATCCCATGGTTAAAACACCATTCCTCCAGACAATTCCGGCAGGCAGTTGGCTTGCCCCGTAATGATTTCCATGTTTCACTGCTAAGAGCCCCAGTGAAACAGCAAAGACCTGAGTTAACGCTGTCACTGCAGGGGAAGCTGAACTGTCCCATGTGTTGGTGACAGCTCCTGCATCCCTGTTCCCTCACATTCCCAGTCACCTGCACAGCTCTGAAGGGCATAAGTAAAGCAGATATCCAGGGTCATGTGTGCTCTGCTCCCGAGTCACGGGAATGCCTGGGAAAGCCATGTGTCCCTCCCTCCTCGACAGGTGGGCTGGGCAGTGGTTTCCTCCACTTCAATCATTGGGGGAGCAGCCGTCCAGCCTCCAAGTATTTTAATTTAACAGGGTGATTAATTCAACAGCTCCTCACAAGCCCTTCCTGCCTCCTCAAGCTGCTGTCCCAGCACTTTAATTCCTATTACCTCGTGTCTTAAAATAGCTGCCCCTTGGTTTGACTGTTGTGACAAAGAGGCCACCGAGGACCTTAATGCTGGTGGACAAAGTAACCCCACTGCAAATCGGGAGCTGCTTGGCCTCAGTGAGCAGAGCAGAGGAAGCTGCCCTTCGTTTAAAGCCCACAAAGCTGATCTGAAAAACAAGTTTACACTTCACCAGAATAAATATCCTGTAGGAAATAAGTTTATTCATGGAGTTTGAAAGAAGTCTGCGTGGCTGAGCTCACTAGTTTTAAGTCAAATGCACCAAGAAACGCACCCACAGCTGCTCCAGTGTGGTCAGGCTGTTGCAGAGCGAGTCAGGGCTGAGCCCTGCACTACAGACGTATTTAAAAAAACCAAATCCAAGGGGATTATGTGCATATCCCTCAGCACTGAATTTATAGGAGCCTTTTACAGTTGTTGTTAGCGTGCAGAAAGCATCTCTGTTCCAGAAAAGAGGCTTCTCTCCAGAAACAGCTCACAGATGCTGCTTTTCTCATACTCACAAAACCAAAACCAGGGTGAGGAAGTTGAGGAAAGAGGGCTGGGATTGACACGTTGAAGGGAGAGGTGTGCCTTTGGGTGGGAAGGCTGGCAGGAGCACTGCCATAGGAGGGGAAAAGTGTTCCGAGCCATTTGGCTTGGAACTTCCTTGTCACCAGTTCTGCCCTGTGCTCCAAACCCAGCAAAGTTGTTCCCCAAACCCCCCCATGACAGCCCAGGAACCAAAGGCAGCACAACCACAGGGATTAACAGAACCAGTTCCCCCGGTTCAGTGGGAATTATGTTTACACAGCTCAGGCAGCTGACAGGCTATTTCTAGGCATCCAAACAGAGATGCTGGGGAAGAGAAGCTGTTCCTCTGAAGCAGCAGTAGCCCAAAATTCTTTGGAAGCTGCTCAAAGCAAAATCCTGTCTACACAACAAGCGCTCAGTTTTAGTTCACCCTGGAAAAATCCCCCCACAAAATCCCCCTGCCATGTTACTGTGGGCAAAAAAAACCCCAGCAGACTCTCTCTTACAAACTGCTGCCCAAAACCAGCTCTCCAGCCCTCGGCTCCGTTTCAGCGATGCAAAGCCGCAAGGACCAGCTTCTACTTGGTTCCAATTCCCTGAGCACAAAGTTTTCCAGCCCAGCTCAGCTCCTTGGATGTCCTGGGAAGGACGGGGGGGAGGCCCCGATGTGTTGGCAGGGTCAGGAGAAAGGATGTTATGATCCACCCTGGCCAAGCGACTGTAGAGAGCCACGGAAGCTCCGGCTGCTGGCAAGTGCTGCACCTGCAGCCTCCTGCCAAGTCTGCCAGCCAGGGCACATCCTGGATGTTGCTGTGGCATTCCCAGCTCCAGCAAAGCTCCTTGGATGGAGGGCTGAGATTTAAGTCTCTTAACACAAAAATACCAACACCTATAGGGAGCCCCAGCTGTTTAATTCATAGTGCTGCTGTATCTGAGTGCTGTGTGTGCTGGAGGAGGCAGCTCCTTCGGAAAGGTCATCCCTTGGACTGCAACAGCTGATACAGCTGGAAAAAGGACTTAAGCTTTTGGATCCAGATGCCTTTCCAGGTCATTCTGATGGCTGCTGGTTGAAAAGCTCAGGCTGCTGTAACTACAGCACTGCCACACTTGGGCAACCAAGGGGGCAGAGAGAACCCCTGTAACCCCACCTGAGGTCTGACACACCTGGGGCCCCTCATTCCAAGACAGACACTGAGGGGCTGCAGCATGTCCAGAGAAGGGAATAAAGCTGGGGAAGGGTATGGAGCACCAGGAGCAGTTGAGGGAGCTGGGGGGGCTCAGCCTGGAGAAAAGGAGGCTCAGGGGGGACCTTCTTGCTCTCTACAACTCCCTGACAGGAGGGCGGAGCCAGGTGGAGGTCAAGCTCTGCTCCCAGGGAACGAGATAGGACAAGAGGAAACAGGCTGAAGTTGCACCAGGGGAGGTTTAGGTTGGATATTAGGGAAAATTTCTTCACTGAAACAGTTGTCAAGTATTGAACAGGCTGCCCAATGGAGTCCCCATCCCTGGAGGGATTTAACAGCCATGTGGATGTGGCACCCGGGGACATGGTGTAGTGGGTGGCCTTCGCAGTGCTGGAGAGCAGTTGGACTATACCTTAGAGGGCTTTTCCAACCCAAACAATTCCATGATTCTATGTAACAGAAGGGGCTGATTTTCTGACAGATTCTGCTAGTCTTGTCAAGCAATAAAGCCAGGAAGAATTCCATCCATATTTCTGGGATGCAGCTATCGGGATGACATCCCCCGTGCCTACACACCACTGCCAAAATCTCTGCAAGTTCATAGCTGTACTGAAAACTCAGAACTGTGATTCCTTCCACCAGCTCCCCCTCCACACTGAGCCCATTTTCTGCCTCTGGGCCTTGCCTGGTGGTGTACACGAGGCTTGGCAAAGCTGGGTGGCAGGAGTTTCACCTGCAGGGTCTCCTGTTTCTCACCTAGACAGGATTCATTACTTGTCCTGAGCCCTCTTGAAGCTATTTTTGTACCTTCTTTTTGTACCTTCTTTCTGTGACAAGGAGCCTCTTGTGCTGCTTCTCTGGAGTACACACCCCTCTAACATCTGTGACAATTCACCTCGAGCATTCAGCTGATGGCACGTTGTCACTAGAGGCTCAGAGGTGAGGAACGTGTTAAAGATTCACCAAAGGAAACTCTGAAAGCAGCTGTGAGGTCTGGCATTCTCTCATGAATTCCAAGAGGAGGCTCTGGGAGCTGCGGCCCAGAAGGGTCTGTATCTTTTCATCATGTAACGTCTGTGTGCCACCCACGGGGTAATTACAAATCAAGTCTAACACCTATGACAACACCCCTGGCTCAACAGCCAAATTTGCAAGGTGAGCATAATTTTAGGCTGCCTCATCCCTGGCATGTGGAAAAGCAGCCCTTGTCCCAGAAACAGAGACAGATGTGAGCCAAAGTCACACAAGTGCCAATTATTCTACAGGAAGGAGCAGCCAGATCTCATTCAGAAGGAAAGGTCCCACGGAACAAAGAGGGATGAAAAATGAGAGAACTGCACAGAGCCACGTGCTCCTGCAAGTCTGCAGACACGAACCTTCCTGATCTTGCCCTGCCCTTGCACATGTTCTAGAAACACCCCAGGCTGGGAGGTGGGTGGCTGCCTTTCCCATCTGTACCTGGGTTCAGGCAGCTCCCAGGCCCCGACAGCTTCACCTTCCAGACCAGGGCACAGAAAGGAGCTTATCAACCCTTCCCTCGTTGTTTCACCTTTCTGCTGCTCGTTTCCTCCTTCTGCCAGACATTTTCAGGAGTCCTTTCATGTTTTGATAATGCAGGCTCTGTTGACAATAGCTGCAACAGGCCCCTGGGAGCAGGGCTGCTGAATGATCTGCTGCACAATGGGCTCTCCTTTCTTAATAAACAGGTGATATTTAAGCAGGAGAGCCCTGCCTGCAGCTCAGTCGCTGAAAAATTACCTGTTCTCCCACTTATTACCTTGGAATTCTCTGCATTTATTCCCATTGGACTGCAAAAGGAACCAAACACAGTTGCAACACGGGTACAGGTCATTACTTAGACGTAAAATCTTTCTCACCTTATATATCAGAGCCGAAAGAGAAGGATCCCTGCTACCCCCTCGCCCACCGGGGATCTTCGACAGTGGGTGAGGGGCATCAGGAGCACCACAGAGGCCCTGGAACGATGTGCCTGCAGCACTGCAGCTGGGGACAGTTACTCAAAGGTAAAATACTACTGCAAGAAAGAGAGAGAGAGAGAACACTAGGTTACATTAGCAGGGATCATGTTTTGGAGGCTCTAGCTCCTCAAAACCCCAAATCACTCGTATCCCTGCTCCTCCACAGCACCCAGATGTCGACATCAAAACCACCCACTGCCCCAGTGGCACCAGAACTCGAGTGTTTTGTTAGGAATGGAGGAGGGGCTGGAGCCAGGAACCCGGAGAGAGTGCTGAGCAACCTCATGCTAATCAGAGAGGCCTGGAAGGCTGCCAGGAGCAGATGGCTGGGAATGCATGACCAGATGAGCATGCATTTTCTAGAGACAAATATCTACAAATAGATCAACAGGGCCCAGGAGGAGGAGGTTTAAGTTTCATGTTTTCAAACCGAGGAGGAGCGAAAGGCCTGGTTCTTCAGACACCTTCAACGCGCTCCACAACATCTGTGGCAACGTGGTCACAGGCACGTGAAGCATCAGACAAGTGTCCCTCACCCCAACCCTAAAAGCTGTAAGTTCGCCCCAGAGATCTACTTTTACAAGCAAGAAAACACATTTCCCTTCCAATTTCCAAGTTTGTTTGGAAGTCCTACACGTGGTCTTCCATGCTCACTTTGGACACAACCTTTAATACCGGCTTTGGCTTTTAGGAAGCTCATGAAAGCAAACTAATTTACTTTCTGCAGCTTTGCTTCCTCTCCAGCACTACAAAAGCTCTGTGTGGAGGCTCAGTGTTCCTCTAACACAGTCTGCAAAAGCCATGCAGGGGAAACCAGTCCTTCCCCAGTGGAACGTTATGGAACACACCAGAGCAAAGCTGTAGAAGCAACACCAAAACAAAGGGGTGAGGGAGGGTTTTCATGAGCACAGGGCCAGGAACGAGGCTAAAGTGGATAAACTTTGCAGCTGTACTGACAACTCACTGTCTGTCCTGAAACTTCTCACTTGAGCTGTTCCCAATACAGTGTTTTTCCACTCTAATCCCTCTCCACGAGGCAGACAGGCTTAAATATCCAAACACCAAGTATGGAGCTGCACTGTCAGAACCACCTGAACCGCTGGGGATCACAGACTGGTTCAGGCTGGGAGAGACCTTAAAGCATGTCCACTTCCAGCCCCTGCCATGGACACCTTCCACCGGACCAGTTTGCTCCTGTCCAACAAGGAGCAACAAGGTTACAAGCCCTGTCCAACCTGGCCTTGTAACCTGCCTGTGCAGGCTGCAAAGCAGCTACTAAAACCTGGCATTCCTGAATGCCAAAAACAAAACTCACAAACGCAGTTACAACACAGGCAGAATCCCCCAAGGATCTCGGCTTCCCACCTCCTACCAAAACCATCTTTCTACAGGAAACACAAATATTCTTCCTCCACTTGTTTCTTCCTCCAGGTTCGCTAGGCTGGGCTCTGGCGCAGGGTTCCCATGTGCCATGGCTTAGAGCAGGGACCTCTTGGAGAACAGGCTACTTAAATACACCAGAAGATGTTCGAGGTGGAAGCCAGAGAAGCCGGGTGTTTTGTGCTCCCCCGGTGTGCCCGGGGCTATCAATGGGCCAGTGTGTGTTCAGTAGTAGTAGCTGTGGAGAGGATGACAAAGCACTTTGTACCGTCCCCACCCCCAGAAAGCTGTTGGCAGCTTTGTTATTCCCTTCCCTCCTCCCTCACCCCCCAGCCAACAATGTACTATTGATAGCTCTCTCCAACTTGCAGCCAAGGCATGGAGAAGCTGGATAATGAAGTGGAGTTGTGGGAAAAAAAAAATACATCAAACAGAGAGGCAGTAGTTTTCATGCAAAGCAGCTCAAGACACTTCCCAGTTTCGCTTCCTCTGACACATGCAGAAGTCAAAACACAAGCCCCCTTCAGCCACCGAGCCCTGCCTGTGGCACTGCCCAGACCTGCACACCACCACTATCCCTCCAAAATTAGGATCCCTGCACGTCACCATTATCCCTTTCCAAAATTAGGGTCCCAAGAGCAGCACCCTCAGGGTGTATTTGGGGCACAGACTAAAAGAGGTTTTGCTTTCTCCAGCTCCTGGGAAAAAGTTCACGCAAACACCCAAAACGTCTGATTCCTCCATGCATCCGTGCACCAACAGCCCACTGCAACCCTGCTCCCTCAGGCCTGTTTGTAGCTTAAAAATTAGGCTTGTGCTCCCTTCTGACCTCTCTCCTCCTTGAAGAAGCTTTCCCACAGCTTGGTTGAGATTAAGACCTTTCCCTGGAGAAACTCCTCAGCAAAAGTGGCTCAGCTGAGCCCTGCCCGAAATGGGAAAGGGGAGCTGGAAGCCGGGGTTACACTCTCATCCCGCGAGTGTAATTTTAACTCCCTAAGCTCCCAGCGATCCCAACCCCGTGCCCTGTCCCTGGGAAGCGCAAAGGAGACCTCAGCAACTTGGGAACTCCGTCACGGCTCCTTAGCGATCCTCGCACGCGGAGCCACGCCGGGACCAGCACCTCGGGGGCTGAAATCCCCACACTTTCCTGTGTTTTAGGGGTTTTAATTGTTTTGAACACTTAGACCAGAAGGAAGGATCCAAAGAGCTCCCCTGACACTGGAGAAATGACGTTCTTTTGTTTGTTTTCCTTTCTGCCCCTTTCCAAAACGGGCTATGGAGATGCAGCTGCACTTGGCCCACAATAATAACAATATATTATTATTGCAAGACACATATCCAGGATCTGAGGAGCAAATTGCAAATAACCATCTGATGACCACAGCACAGGTCAAGCATCTCCCACAAAGGCAGCAGCCAAGAACCGGGGCTGCTCCGTGCGCATCCTCTGGGCTCTTATCGGCGACAGAGGCGCAGGAAATGACACTCTGGGGACTCTAAACAAGGAACAGACACACGAGATAAAATCGGTCAGCTGAGAAAAATACACAGATCCTGCAAGTTGGTGCCTGCTGATCCCCAACCTGCCTGGAAAAAGCCACCTTCCCGCAGGCAGGAAGAGGTGCGGGGGGTGCGGGGAGGGAGCGCCAGGACCGGTCGGCGAGAGGTGTTCAGGCCGCGGTGAGCCCAGATCCACCCTCGGGGGGCTCCTTCACGGGGAAGCGACGCCTCAGTGGGGATTTTAATCGCGTAAAGGCGGAGCGGCCTCCCCGCCGTCCGCGGCCTCCCCACCGCCTCAGCGCCCTGCCCGCGCCCCAGGCCCGCCCGCCACCCGCCGCGCTGCGGGGCGATAGGACAGGCGCCGCGCACCTGTCCTGGGTGTTTTATCATCCTGGGCTCGGCTCCGGTCGGCTGCGGCTCGGGCTGGTCCGCGCTGGTGCCCGGCTGCTGCCCCGCTCCGCTCCGCGCTCCGGACTGACCGCGGGGCCCGCGCGCCGACACGCCCCCGTCAGCGCCCGGCCCGCCCTCCCGCGCCGCGCGCGCCCGGCCCCGCCCCTCGCCCGCCCGCCGGCGGCGCGGCAGCCTGGAAACCCACCGCCCCAAACAAGGCGCGCGCGCCCCGGCCACCCCCCCGCCGTGATGTCACCGCCCCCCGGCGCGCACGCCTCGCGCGTCTCCTGAGGGGGCGAGGGGCGCGCGCCCGAGGCTCCAGATTCTCCCCTCAGAATCCGGTTTCTCCTCAGGGACCGGTTCTCCCTTCAGCATCTCGGCTCCCCTCAGCCCCCCCCCGGGGCAGGTCTCACGTAGTCCCTAGGCCCCGGGGCTGGCAGCAAACCCAGGGGTGGGAGCAGGGCCGGCCGCCTGGGCTGTGGGAAGTGACAAGGCCCCGGGTGGGAACTGGAGCCGAGGTTATGGGAGAAGAGGTTTGGGAGCATCAGGGCCGAGGACTGAACAGCCGAGTGTTGGTGGTGCCACACGGAACAAGCCATTGGCGCTGAGGTGAGAGATTGGGCAGGGAGATCCTTCCCTGTGAGAGTGGTGAGCCCTGGCCCAGGTTGCCCACAGAATGTGGCTGCCCCATCCCAGGAGATGTTCAAGACCAGGCTGGATGGGCCTTGGAGCAGCCTGGTCTAGTGGAAGGTGTCCCTGCTCATGGCAGGGGGTTGGAATGAGATGAGCTTTAAAGTCTCTTCCAGCCCAACCCATTCCATTCTATATCCTGCTTAAAGTATGGGGCTGGTGCTTAAATGTGACCTGGGATGCCAAAAGCTCATAATCTGGATGAGTAGGAGCTGGAGTAAGGAATGAATACATGGATAACATGATGTGGAGCTGCCCATGGCAGGGCTCTGCAGGGACTCTTGGTGAGCAGTGTATCCATAAGAGAAAGGCAGCAGCAGTCACGCAGCCAAAGGTGAGGCTCCTGGAGAACCAGGCAGAGTGAGGAAACTGTGAGGTTCAGTCCTGCAGGGCTTGGTGGGTGCTGAGCCTTCACATAGGGTCAGGGATCGGGAAGCTCTTTGGAAGAGAAGCTCTGGGAGACCCTGTGGATGCCAGCCCTGAGGGCTGAAGTCCTGGAGAACCTCACACTGACCCACCTGGGCAACCTCAGCCCTGCCCCATGCCAGAGCTCCTGAGTGGCACCTGCAGCAGCCTGGGGTGCAATGCCCTGGTGGGTTCATGGACCCTGGGATCCCACAGGCAGCCCTGGGCCTGGGCTTCCCGGTTCCCAGCGCTGCCCTTCACTCGGCAGGAAGGGACCAGCTGTTCTGCAGAGAGCTGGACACCAGCCAGGACCTGAGTTCAAACAGAGCCCATTAAATGGCTTTTCCCCCCTTCCTTCGCATTTCCAGCCCTGCTTGCAGCCGTGGTTCTATTTATAATGCCCAGGAAAAGCAAACTGAGACTTTCCCACAGTGCCGGCTTCTCAGGCGATTGTTGTTCGGGAAGCTGGAATGTTCGTGGTATTATTTTTGTATCCCCCCGGGAAGGGTTTGTGTTTTTTATTGCGTGTCACTCTGTGTCCCCATCTGTGCTGAGGAGGAGAGTGTGCGAAGCACGAGGTCTCTGGTGCTGCTCATGGCTCTCAAACACTTTGCTGAGGTGCTGCTGGTTTGGGTGTCTGTGCCCATGAGCCTCTTTTGGGGTGGGGGGTGGGTGCTCTGAGAGGTGTCCTGGTAGCCATGGGGCTGGAAGCCACAGGGGCATCGCTAGTAGCCCCTGTCTGGGTGCCAAGCCCATCATGTCACTTGCTCTGTGCCTCAATGTCCCCCAGGCAGGGAGGAGGGAACACAGAGAATCCTACTGGGAACAATGGGCTCATCGTTCCTGCCCTGCCTGGGGTTCCAGAATCAAGATGTGCCCTTACACTGCAGTTTTGGGGTGGCAGAGCCATCACAGGAGGCTGGGCCTGACAGCTGGGCTGTGGTGTCACTGTTCATGTGGTGCTGCTGCTAGCAGAGGCCAGCGGGCTCCTTTTTTTGCCTTTCTTGGCCATGCGAGGCCATTCCCTGCACGAAGCTGCTGTGGGATATTCTGGGCACGGCTGGACAGTGGCAGTTCCGTGCTGCTCCTGGGCTGAGGCTGGGCAGGTGGCTCCAGCCTCTCAGAACTGCCTGATGTTGGGATGGAAGCTCTTAGGTGGGAGAGAGGCAAGGCTAAGGTGACGGGAAGTTGATCACTCAGTCATAGCCTTGTTGCGCACAGGGCTAACAGCAGAGACACTGCCCAGGTATTCAGGGCCACGGAGGCAAGTGGGGTCCCTGTGG